TATTTTCACTTCTTCATAAAAAGGAAGCCACTTTAGACTATTAAAAAGCTTCTTTTATTTTTCTTTTCTTTTTTTTCCCCTCTCTCTAAGGATTGATTTCCACTGTCGCGTTATTGTTCCGTGCGAACGCACGTTAAATTTACACGTAAATGAAATAGAGGCAATGTATGAAAGGCCCGGCGTAAACGCGAAAGTTGAGCGAGGTTCAACTTTTACATTTGCGCGTGACCTTTCAAACATTGTCTCTATTTTATTTACGCCCGTAAAATTTACGGGCGTACACACGGAAAAATAGCGCGACAGTGTAAATCAACCCTAAGTAGCCGGGGATGTTGCTTTTGCTTACAGTGGATTTCGGTCCCCAGTCCTTAGTGACCACCCACATATTATGCTCACATGGACTTATATTTCCTTATTACGCATGCGTCGCATAGACATAGCCAGCATTCGTTTGGAACTCCACTAAAAATGAATGAAATGCACAAAACGCGATTTGATCACGCGCGTTTCGACCTTCTACACTTCGTAATCTGGCAGATCACGCGTGTTTTGAGCATCTGTCAAACGAAACGTACGCAAAAGCAGGGCGTTGGAGCAAATGCGTTTGATTGCGTTTGGACCTCTGATCGTTGTCGCCCGCACTCTACCTTTACCTCTGGTATATAGATTTAGCCAGGGCTAAAAGCGAAACTCTCTTTAATATCTATATATAGCTATCGTTTACTCAAACAAAATATAAAATCGTGTAATGCTAAGCGGCGACGGCAAAGAAAACAGCCTAAAAATCAGTTTGTCAGTAATAAAGAGAAAAAACAACTTTGCACGTGGAGCACACTTTGTTGTTTTACACGACTACTTACAGAAACTTCCAGAAACTTTTTAGTTGCGCGTTTTATGGAGGAAAGGTTGTAAGTTTTCCTGTTCACTTTTTTTTTTTTTGCTGCCGTTCATTTTCACCTTGGTGGCCGCTAAAATCAGTTGCAAAAGTACTTGAGACACTGTACCGTATTTTAGCATAAACTGCCTGTCCATGATCTCCTTCCACCCCTTATAAAAGCTGCCAACAATACAGGATCATGCTCAAAACTTTGAGGAACAACTTTAAACTACGTTTGCGTGTTTTAAAATGGCGAGAAAAAAACGGCGGTCTTTGCGACTCTTGTTAATGTAGTAATTTGCAAGAAAATGGTCTTTTGAAGAAAGTGCCTGGCAAGAGATGCCACACCATCTTAAGTAAGCTGCAACGAAAGGGTTTCTTCTTTGTCCTAAAACGCTACAAAGATGCGAAAAGTACTGTATTTTCTTCGAACTCGGGTAAAAGACGTTTATGTATGAAAGGAAAGTGACCTAAGATGCCCCAGATCAAGGAGATAGCTTTTTTGTTGTTTTTTCTAACAAGTACGTGGAAATGGTTCCTCTTTTATCGCCTGCCGTTTACCGGAAAAAAAAAGTTACGCTAAAAAGTAGCTATATATTGTCGACTTTATTTTACTTAACAAAAGTTTGGATTTATGTTTACTCTTTGGTCGTCTTACAAGTTTGTGTCGATTTTGAGGCCCGAGGGTGGCTATGTCATCAGATGAAGCAAGAATTCACGCGTGTATTTCAGTGAGTAACATAGTCGCAAGAGCTCGCACATAACATGGCTTTGGTATTCTGAACTTGGTAACGAAATCTATTTATTTGCAAAAATATAGATCACTGTCTCCCAAAATAGTAATTTTCCAGCATAGCAACGTCAGGAATTTACGTGCGTCAACGGTCTACACAGTCTACGAGTCTGCTTTGCGTATATCTAACGGGACACTGTTGCATAATTTCGCCGCAGATACTGAAAAGTTCGTCCACCCTCGCTTTCTCTATGGTACTTGTAACATACAATATTTATAATGGCATGGCGAGTATTGCGAGCGTGACGATTGTTATTAATAATGATGAGATCATCTAAGTAAATAGGTAAAGTCCCATTAATACGCTTATAAATAATAGAGCAGTTATCAATTCTTGATTCCTCAGAAAACGGGATCCAAGAGAGCTTGTTAAAGAGGGCAACAGAAGACGCCACGCGCTCGGCATAAAGAATGACTCTTGCCGCCCGCTTTTGGAATTAATTTAAAGGACGCGATAGAGCTGCTCCTTGTCGCATGAAGACTAGATGACGCTAGCATAGCTCATAACGGGAAGGATCACCGCATTATAGTATTTAACACGCTGAATAAGCGGTAAGAAGGCTCGTATTTTTCGCAGCACCGCAATTCGTGAGGCGAGCTTTTGGAATATTTTATTAACATGTGCATTGAACGATAACTTGCTATCAGTTTCTAAATCCAACAAGGCTGCACTTTAATTTTTCTACATTACATAGGGTATTATCGCTGTCAGTCCTAACAGAAAGCTCACTATTCAGTTTTGATTTAAGCCTCTTTCCAGTAATCGTGAGAACCTTAGTTTTGTCCTCGTTTGTAGGCAGTTTGTTAACGCTGGTCCAGGCTTGAATTTCTCTGGCAGATTTATTTAGTGACTGGTCTAGATGATCCAAGTTTTTCACATCTGCCGAAGCCTTCACAATCGTATCATCTGCGTAAAGATCTACAGGGTGTTCAAAAAATATTCGTTCCGATTGTAAATTGTATTTTGCGCAAGGCACGTAATGCTTCTTTAGGCAAATGTAAACTGATTCAGGTAAGAAATTTGTCTCAGTAGCCGTTCAAAGCAATGTCAGACTAAAATTTGAAGAAATTATCTATTTTTCTCCAATTTTTGCCCCAACTGTACAGGTACGCGAGGTTTGTTTCCGCCATACTTTTCCTGCCCATTTTGTAGGTTTTCCATTTTGGTATTTTTATTGTTTTCGTTTATATTCTCTACTCCTTCATGAAAATGAAGGCCTTCACTGTTTGTGGTAGAGCTCATGCTTCTATTTTTATGGTCTTCTGGTTATTCAGTCAAAAAAAATTGTCAAATTGTTGAAGAAATCTGAACGATGACCGAACAAGTGGTCAGGAGTGAAGGCCTTAGAGGACAAACCAAGAAGGAGAGGGCCGTCTTATCACAAACTGTGTGAGAAATATTATCAAAAAAGCTGTAAGTATGTGCGTAATAATTCCACAAAACAGAAAGACAAAAAAATTTCAACGTCACATCGTCAAACAAAGTTTCGAGCATAACTGTATGGGGATAAGTTACCAAAAGAAGTTGGAAAGCCTTGAAGAGAAAAAGTCGGTGCACACTTCATGCAAGCATGGTGTCGGACGGATTTGCCAACTTTATACCAAAGGAGGAATGGCCTGCAAACTCATGTGATGTGAACCCCAAGGAGACCATCTGGATTATCGTAGACGAGACAACATACAAAGATCCATACCCCTAAAACACTGGACGGGCTAACACAGTGACTACGCTTCGCCTGGATGAATGTGACTTTGGACGCGCTTGCGGAGCTCGTACATTCTATACCTCACCGCGTAGAAAATGTCAGAAAATATACAGGAAGACATTCTGGTTACTAATATTTTATTAGTTATTCAATGTTAAATGAATTATGAATAACATACTAAGTTTTACAAAAGGTTTTTTCTTTAATAATTAGTGAAATTTAAGCAAATAAACAATTGAAACGAACTTTGAAACACCCTTTACATCTGCACTAACATGTAGGGACAAATCGTTAATGAACAGGATAAAGAACAGCGGTCCAATAATACTACCTTACGGGACCCCATGCCTTAACATCGCCTCACCCGATTCCTTTCCTCGTACGTGAACCACTTGTTTTCTTTTGCATAGATATGAGCGACATCATGGAAAAAGGCCACACATTGGTCTGTGTCGGGAAATATCCAATTTCTATAAAGTGTCCGCCGTATTTAACGTTTGTTTATCTTTTACAAAACAAATTAATTATCAAGTAAGCTCAGTAGCAAAAAATTATGCGCTTTTGTTATTGCCGAACAACCCGACTGAGTTCTTGCAATAACAGGACAAATTACATTAGAAGACATATTTATTACTCACAAAAACAAACCGCTGCCAGGTCTTCAGAAAGCCGTAATGACTAGCCATTATTCGTAAATGAATATCGTAAGATGACAGTCTTCTTCGCTAAAAAAACAAGTTTTCTGGATTTTGCCGAGGAAAACATAGCCTGAGAAAACAGCCGACATTTCACGACCCCGCCACTGGATCCCCCGCAAAATGACGTCTAAGAAATGAGCGCAGAAATTCTACACACTGATGACGTATCACTACACAGATCTGGGTAGTGACGCGTCCTCAGTACGGAATCTCTGCGCTCATTAATCAGACGTCATTTCGCGGGGAAACCAGTGGTGGCGTCGTAAAATGTCGGCTGTTTTCTCAGGCTAAGCATAATATAAACATCACTTCAGCAATCCCAAACCGATTACTCCACGAATTCTTGCGAACATTTAAGTATTTTAAATTTAGATGGACTTTAAGGCTCTGTTACCTTTGTTTGTGCTTAGTATACATTGATCGTTAACGAATAAATAAGCCAATTTTCTTTATCAGTTTTACGGTTTTTTTCCTCAAACTAGACGATTATGGCGTGTTTGTAACCAGCCCCAATAGAAGCGTTTGTTTTTCTGTGTCGCACGTTAAGGGAAGTTTGCCGTTAATCAAAAAGCAAGCATTTTTGTTAGCTTTGTTGTAAAGGAATTTGCTTATGCTTTTTGCGTATGCATAATTCTTGTTATGGATGCACTTGGGAAGTTTGGAGAGCACTCAAGAAGCTAGAGTTTCTCTCTGCTGCGGCTTTCGACAGCCAAATTTTTTTTGTCAGTGACACGCTTGCGTAACATCCTAGTAAGAGAGAGAAAGTGGCCAACCAATTAATATGAGGACAAACGTCAACCTCCACCCCGCCCATAATGGCTACAAATAGCTGGCCCTGCCAAATGCAACACATTAGGTTGTTAAGAAAAACACTACTCTCCATTTTGCAGCAACCTTTCACCACGCCAAGACCTGATTGCATGTTATGTTTGATTCAAAGGTGGTAAAAGGCGCACCTTCGCTTTTCAGCTTGTTTTGCAGCAAAGTTTTGCAAAACAAACATAATTTTTTTCGTAGCTCTATTTATGGTAACTTTACTGAGAGTCGAGAAAAAGCTTTAAATGGTGGCCATATTACGTTGATTACTAAGCCAAGATCTTTGTATAATGCTATTTTCAGGTACGTCATGGCAAATCAGATGTTTTCTCTATCTGAGGACGTAGTTAACTCTGGTAAGACAATACTCTAGAGTATAGGGTACTTTAATCATAGGAAGTGCACCTGCGCGGTATTAAAGTAACGTACGAGCGAGTTGGTGGTTTATAAGAATTGTATCGCTTATAAAAATTAAAAGTAAAATGTAGGCTGTTTAATGAGTCCAGTGTTTTTTCTTTGTTCGTCAATATCTTTCTGCTTGTAAGCTAAATTTTCTAATATGTTTTTCTGTGTAACAGAACAAAGATATAGCGACGAAAGCAGCACTACGCAAGGTGACGGGTAAGAAAAATATTCTTTTCTTACTATTTTCATGTTGGGAGCTTACAAGACCTTATGTACTTTGTTGAACATGAGAGTTTTCTTTTTTCGAAACTGGTAACATCAGGGCCATCACTAAGATTTCAAGTTGCCCGTTAAATGCAATTCTTCCTTTTTCTTTCCTTTTTTCTTCCCTCTCTAAGGGTTGATTTCCACTGTCGCGTTATTTTTCTGTGCGAACGCAAGTAGAATTCCCCCGTAAATGAAATAGAGGCAATGTATGAAAGGCCACGCGTAAACGTAAAAGTTGAGCGAGGTTCAACTTTTAGTGGAGCACCATAACTAAGGAAATTTGGCAAACTATCTATCCGAGAAATTTTGGTTCTTATGACGTCAGCGTACGTCCGTCCGTACGGACTTTCCGGGTAGTGGAAAGTAGTCCGCATGGACTGTTGGGGTAAGGGAAAGTAGAGATTTTTTGGCGGAAAATCGCATAGCGCAACGTCGCGCAATTATATCGCGCAACTTGTTTTGAAAAAGAAATTTCAAAACAACTTCGCATAAAGATTTTTTACTACAACTTACGAAAGCTATTATGTCAACAATCAACAGCAGAGAGATTTTAGCGTGTAGACGACAGGTTTTAAGCAGAGAGCAAGAGAAGGTGAACGGCAGAGAGAAAGAGTCAACACGCGTAGAGCAAGCGAAGCAATCGCCAAATGGAGCGCGTTAGAAGTAGTAGAAGAAGACAAAATTTGACCGAAGTAAGTCGGCAAGTAGAAAGAGCCAGGGCGAGACAAAGGAGAAAAAATTATAGTGAAGAACGCCGGCAAGCAGAACGAGACAGCTAGAATGAAAAGACAAAGGCAACGCAAAAGAGAAATATAAAGGCAAAGAGAACGGCAGCAAAATAATGACATGATGACAGAAGTTGTTGTGTTAATGTCACTATGGCCTCGCGCTATTAACCTGTTGATTTCAAACTGATATCGGACCAGCCAGTCATTTAAAAATACAAGCAGAGAAGACAAAGGCTTTTCACTTTTCTCACCATAGTCACGCGTTGGTCACGCTCTACGTCCAATTTTTATGCTGTGTTTGGTCAAAATTTGACAGGTGAGTTCATACAGAAAATTTTTACAGCGTCTTGAAACTTGTTTACTTTGACAGCTGAAGCTTATATAGTTTTTTGTCAACTTGTGATGATTTTACTGTCTTTTTCCACTGGATACATAAAATGAAATGCAGCTGCTATCAACAGTCTTCTGTTATTCATGGCTGGTTTGTTTATCGAACTTTTGATTGAGAAATGCGCCGCTTATCAAAGTCGGAAATCCCATTTCGGATGACATCGTTTTCGTTTTTCACCTTGCTGAATGCGGGTTGAAAAGTCCCTCGAGCGATTCTGGCCTTACTTGATAGCTTTCAGGAGCTACTGTGATCAAGAGCCACTATGGCTCTTAAATGTGATCGAAGATGATTGCTGTTTTTTGGGTGTACATATAAGGCTATCAACTCGATGTAAGATTTTTTTTCACTCTAAAATCACTTAGCCTTAGCTTTCCCTAAAAAGTGACATATGTGCCCTTAAGTTAACTGTTTTGTGGATTACAAGTTTATTGTTTGATTTAAATTATAGCGGAGCTCCATGCGCGCGCGAAGCTCGCGCGTGGGCGGAGCCCCATAGCTAAGGAAATCTACCCATCCCATAAAATTTGGTAATCACGTGACCGACCGACCGACCGTCCGTCCGCACCACAGGCATACCAATGTTTACTCTCACACTTTCTAGCTACTTTGGGAGCCCAGGAGAAAGCTGATTGCAGATCAATGTTGTTATCAATTGACAGCTGTCAAAACAGGGTATCCGTCGACCACTATCACCTGACCGTATCGCGGGCTCAGGTGTCGACCCATTCAAATGATCACAGGCTCACGTTTATTTTTGTTTTAAATTCACAACAAATATGTTGTGTTTATGTCAGTATCGCCCCGCACTATTACGATTTT